CCCAACTCCGCCTTGGGCCAAAGACAGCAGCCTGGGATGAAGGCCGGCCAGAGATTGCGAAGTGCGCGCCGAGAAACTGGAAGCGGCGCTGCGAATCTCTCCTGCGGCAGGGCGCGGAAGGTGGCTCCTGTCGGGGCAGGGGCAGATGAAGGGGGTATCGATGGCGCGCCGTGAACTTGCCGGCGCCGATCTTTCCGCCTCTAAAAAACTGTCGGGAGCTGGGCGAACAAATTGCGGCGTTGGCCTGAAACGCAGTGGGGCTCGTCTCCTGCATCAATTTGGCGAGGCGACGCATGGCCCTCGCACCTCCTCTCTCTACGCATGCCCCTGCCATCTTCCCTCCCAGAGCCCTGCTTGCTCTTGCGGATGGCCTGGACGACCGACTCGAACCCCCCCCCCGCGAAGCGCGGAAGATTCTGAAGTCATTGGGCCGCGCGGCCGAGGTCGGGCGCCGTCGCCTCGACCAATCGAGAGCCCGCGCAATCGAATCGCGCTGTCCTGGCGGGCGCCCGGCCCTTCGCCAGGGCTGGGTTGATGCAGACAACTCTGGACGAGTTGAATAGTGTCCTGCTTAAGCTGGCCCATGGGACAAGGCTTCTGACCGGGCCCTTGGGGCCCCCCGCGGAGCCTGCTCGCCGCGCCCAGCGCGTCGTTCGCGCGGCGAGCGAGCCGCCCCCGCCCCCCGCGCCCCCCCGCATCAACAAGATCGCCAACCGCACTCTTGGGCCTCGAGAACACAGGGACCCAGCGAGCCCTGAGACGAGCCCCTTCGCGGCCGCCGCTGGCAACCTCTTGCAGCCCTCGAGGGGCCCGCGCTCCAGCTCCAACGCGTTGGAAAGACGCGCCCTATCCTGACTGGAATTTCCCCACATCCTCCTCCTCCTCATCCTCCTTCTCCTCCTCCTCGCCCCTCCTCCTCCAGGCCTGCCGACGCCGTTGCTGCTCGCGGCCGCCGCCGCGCGCGCGCGGCGACGCCCCCGGCGAGCCCCCTGCCGGGCGATCTGAGATCGGGCCCCGCGGGCAGTTCGACGGGCGGGCGCCGGCGACGCGCGCGCGAGAGCCGATGCGTCTGGACAGCCCGGCCAGGCAGAAGGAGTCTGACTGGCCCGCGGGGCCCGCGGGCCCACCTGGACTTCTTCAACGGCCCGACCGCGGGTCGACGCAAGCGCGATCTTCGAGCGCGCGCAATGCCGCCTCCAAGCGGCGAGGCAAGTCAGATGATTTCACCATGCGCGGGTCGAGACCCCTGTCGCCCCCCGCGACAACTCGCGCTGCGTCGACTGGCCGCTTTGTTTCAAAAACCCGAGGCTCAGTTCGACGCCCCGCGCCATACTTGAATGCAATGCGCGCTGGCGATCGTGCGGGGGGGGGAAGGGAAATCGACCGCAACCTTGATCGCGCCCCCTGGTTCGACGACGCCGCTGGAGCTCTCGGGTCATCTCGGGCCTAAGCTCCGGCGCGCCAAAATCGCACCCCCCCCCCCATCTGGGCCCCCCCGGGCAGCTCCGGGGCGGCGGGGGGCGCCGCCATGCGCCTGCCCAGCTTGCCGACCGCATCGCACTTCTCGCCTTTCATTGCATGACTGACGCCGATCTCGTGGGCGAGGACAGCGGGCGCCCTGGTCATCATCGACCTTTCTAACCCAACCGACCCAGCATTGCAACTGCTACGCTCAATGAACTCCCCTTCGCCAGAAGCGCCAGAGAACTCCGAGGAACGGGGGGGGGGGCTGGCGCGCCAAATCTGGGCATGGGCAAGCCGCGACGTAGCGGCGAAAGATTATTTGATACGGCGTTGCAATTTACTTAATTAACAGCGAAGACTGATGGGTTTCTAGCGGGCTCAAAAGAAAGCATCTTGACTCCCCAAGGGGGTCTGGGCGGGTGCGGGGAGAAGCCGGGGAAACCGGGGACCCCCCAGGATTCCTATAGATTCCTGTCGTTACCTATGGATTCCTCCCCAGAACACCATTCCCAAGCCACATTTTGAATGCCCGGAGCCAACTGTAGGCCACTTCGTGTTCTTTGTGTTCCCTGAACACTATTCCCAGGCCACATTTTGCATGCCCAGAACCAACTGTAGGCCACTTCGTGTTCTTCGTGTTCCCAGAACACCAGTCCCAGGCCACATTTGAATGCCCGGAGCCAGCTGTAGGCCACTTCGTGTTCTTCGTGTTCCCAGAACACCATTCCTGTACCACATTGTGATCGCCCAGAGCCAACTGTGGGCCACTTCGTGATCTTCACGTTCCCAGAGCACCAGTCCTGTGCCATATTTTCAATGCCCGAGCCGAGGGAGGCTGAGGCCGAGGCAGGCTGAGGCCGAGGCAGGCAGCAGGCTGAGGCGGAGGCAGGCTGAGGCTGAGGCTGACGCAGGCTGAGGCCGAGGCAGGCTGAGATAGGCTGAGGCTGAGGCAGAGTCTGAGGCAGGCTGAGGCTGAGGCTGAGGCAGGCTGAGACTGAGACTGAGGCAGGCTGAGGCAGAGGCTGAGGCTGATGCAGGCTGAGGCTGAGAGGCTGACGCTGAGGCTGAGGCAGGCTGGGGCTGAGGCTGAGGCAAGCCGAGGCAGGCTGCGGCTGAGGCTGAGGCTGAGGCTGAAGCAGGCTGAGGCTAAGGCTGAAGCTGAGACAGGCTGAGGCTGAGGCTGAGGCTGAGGTTGTGGCTGAGGCTGCGGCAAGCTGCGGCTGAGGCAGGCTGAGGCTGAGGCTGATGCAGACTGAGGCTGAGGCAGGCTGAGGCTGATGCTGAGGCAGGCTGAGGCTGAGACAGGCTGAGGCTGAGGCTGATGCTGAGGCTGAGGCTGAGGCTGAGGCAGGCTGAGACTGAGGCCGTGGCAGGCTGAGGCCGAGACAGGCTGAGGCTGAGACTGAAGCTGAGGCTGAGGATGAGGCCGAGGCAAGCCGAAGCTGAGACTAAGTGAAGCTGAATGGGGAGGAGGGGGGGGGAGGGGGGGCTGAGGCAGGCTGATGCTGAGACAGGCTGAGGCCGAGGCAGGCTGAGGCTGAGGCTGAGGCTGAGGCTGAGGCAAGCCGAGGCAGGCTGAGGCTGAGGCCGAGGCTGAGGCTGAGGCTGAGGCAGGCTGAGGCAGGCTGAGGCTGAGGCTGACGCAGGCTGAGGCCGAGGCAGGCTGAGGCTGAGGCTGAGGCTGAGGCTGAGGCAGGCTGAGGCTGATGCCGAGGCAGGCTGAGGTTGAGGCTGAAGCAAGCCGAGGCAGGCTGAGGCTGAGGCTGAAACTGAGGCAGGCTGAGGCATCCGTCGGAATCCATCGGAATCCTTGGGGATCCTCAGGAATCCGCAAGCATCCTTAGGAATCCGTAAGCATAGTTAAGCATCCTCAGGAATCCTCAGGAATCCTTAGGATTCGCTAGGACTCCTTAGGAAGCCCTAGGAGTCCCCAGGAATCAAGATTCCGAAGGATTCCTAAGGTTTCCGAAGGATTCCTATGGATTCCTAAGGATGCCTAAGGATGCCTCAGGAATCCCTAAAACTGTCACTGCGACGGTCATTGCGAATGCGACTGCGACTGCGAGAACAGCAGAATTCTACAACTGGATTCTCCCCTGAATCTTAAGGGAATGCTTCCAGATATGCTTATACACATCGCTGTTAGGTTGCTTTGCCGGGATAATTGGTTTAGGAGGATGCAGCAGTATCCCCACTGACCTCCCAGTTTTCAACCCGCCGAGCTGCACGGAACAGCTCCTCGAGCTCGGGATCGCCGGCGCGCAGATCATGGCTGTAGGAGAGACTGAATCGCCCCCCTGTCTTCAGCTGCTTCAACCTCCTCCAGATTAAGAGCTGAAGCTAAGTATGAGGAGGCTCACCAAGCATGGCCTCGATAACTTCGCGCCGTAGAGCCCTAATCCCCATGTTGCACACAATCCTTCGCGCAAGTCGTGTCGAGATTCTCCTGCGCCTGTTGGATGAGCTGTGGCTGTCGATGATGTCTTTCTCCAACTTTTTCTGCTTGGACTCGAAGCTGGCGAACATGTAGCCTGTGCTGGTGTGCCGCGTGGGCGCCGGCTTTCACGCTGCCAGTGCCCTCCGAGCAGAACGCAATTGAAGATATTGAGAAGTCTTTGCGTCCTCACCACCCACTCCGATCTTGGTGACGGTTTGGATGGCACTCTCATAGCTCTTCGTCGGCCTCCTTTGGTACTGGCTCGCCGCCGCAAGCGCACTGTGCGGAGAACTGATCGTTCGTCGTAACCATGATGTTCGGCAACTGCTTCCTGCGTCGCATCGAGCTGCTGTCGTAATTTACCGTCGCGTTGCCCAGCACTCCCAGCAGACCCACGAGGACGCCCAGAAAGAGGAAGAGGCCGATGACCATCGTTCTTCTTCACGTTCCGCTTGGCAGCCACAACCACATGTTGAGGGGCCTTGGCGCTCACTTGGTGTTGAGGCCGCAGCCACCGAACGACCACAAAAGATGTCCCATGCCTGAGAATCCAAACCCATCGCTCACGGATGCTCACTTTGAACGGTCCGACTGGAGCCCACCAGACGAAGAGTCGAAACAACTTGCAACAGCACTTGTTCGTTCTGAGAAGGCATACCGTCGCGAGCTCCGTGCGCAAACGCCTCAGGCAGAACGGCCGAGCAGGAGGAGGAGGAGGAGGAGGAGGAGGAGGAGGAGGAGGAGACGAACGCACGAGTGGAGGAGGAGGAGGAGGAGGAGGAGGAGGGTCAAAGGTCCAGGAGGGCCCAGGGTCGACGAGGGCCGAGGGTCGAGGATTGGGAGTCCCGAAGCGGTGCGGTGACAGACCTCGAAATCCCGCAAGACCTCACTGCACGGTCCGTCACCGCACGGTCTTGGGACCTCGGAGGCCCCAGTCGCACGAGACGTCCTCGGAGAACGACCCGAGTCCCAAAACCGCGCGGTGACCCTGAATCCCCACCGACTCACCGCACGGTGTGGTACCACCCCGTTTGGGGGCCCCCGAGAGGAGGCGGGGGGGGGCTGGGAGCCCGGGCCGGCGGGGCGGGGTCTTCCAAAGAGGCGCGCTCGCCCCCGCGCGCCTCGCACTGCGAGCACGCCGGGCCGAGAGCACTGGCGCGGGCAGCTGCAGGCAACGAGGGCGACGATGGCGATGCCGATGGCGACGGCGCCGGTGATGGCGATGGCGATGCTGGTGATGACGATGGTGGTCATGATGGTGGTGATGCTGGTGGTGATGGTGCTGCCGATGATGCCCGTCGCTGATGATGATGCTGCCAATAATGACGATGATGATGGTGGTGCTGATGGCGAGGAGGATGATGAGGAGGATGCTGATGCTGATTATGATTATGATGATGATTTTTTTGACGAGCGCCCTGCCAGCCACCAGCCTGATTACTCCCTGATGGGAATTGTCTCCACCCGAATGCGTTCCTTCGGATGCCAGCCTCGCTTCACCCTGGACCAATACTCCGCTGCCTTTGCGAGTGGGCGTGTGCACTCATGGCGGAGCTGCTTAAATTGTCCGAGGGTCGAAAACGCTTTGCAGCGGGTGCAGATAATTAAGATCTGATCGTTCGAGCACTCGAGCGCCAGACAAGAGTGACCCCGTTCAGTCACAGAACGAGCAACCAGGGGCAAGTCTCCTGCGCAGCCCTCACTAGAGGGACGCGCTGCATGCCTGCGGAATCTGAGACAACGATTGCACCTCCAAAAAGACTTGACCCAAACCCAGACGTGCTCTCCCTCAGGCACCTCAGCCTCAAGGCGGTGAGGGCGAGGAGGCGCAATGTAGGGAACGTCTGCAAGGTCCAGACGCGGCCAAGAAACGAGAACTTTGGCCGCCAGACGCGAGACTGTGCGAGACACCTCGATGGTGATGATGATGATGACGATGGCGATGATGCTGATGATGATGATGATGATGATGATGATGATGATGGTGATGTTGATTATTAAGATGGAGATGAAGATGGTAGTGGTGAATATGATGATGGCGATGGTAGTGACGATCACGATGATGACGCTGGCTATGGCGACATTAGTGGTGATGATGTCAATGTTGATGCTGACGAAGATGCACATGCAGGTACATATCCCGATGCAGATGATAATGCTATTGATGATGACCATGGTGATGATGATGATGCTGCTGATGATGATGACGATTATGATTATGATTCTGATGATGATGATAATGATAATGATAATGATAATGATAATGATAATGATGATGATGATGATGATGATGATGATGATAATGATGATGATGATGATGATGATGATGATGATGATGATGATGATGATGATGATGATGATGATGATGATGATGATGATGATGATGATGATGATGACGACCCATGGCAGTCCCAGTATTGCCTGGCATAGCCCAAGGTGGCCCAAAGATGCGCTCGAAGCGTTGCCTTCAAGAGTCTCCCATGTGGTCCACCAACGCCCCAGGAATGCCCCCAGTCGGCCCCAATCTGATGAGTCCCCAAATGGCATGGCCGTCGGTTACTTCTTGGGCCTCGCTGGCATCCCAAACTCCGCCGACACATTCACACTTTCAAAACATATGAAACATCGAATGACAATGCTGCAGCATAGCCTCCAACACGGACAAGGCAGCCGAAGTTTGCAACCACGATGGCCCAAGAGGGCGCCAAGATGGCTCGAGGGCCCAAGAGGCTCCCAAGACGGCCGAGGAGGCTCCAAAGAAGGCACAGGAGGCTCCAAAGAAAGGCAACCCTGAAAGGATCCGAACGACAACCCGAAGCAGCGAAAGGCATGAAATCACATGCTTAGACTGCTTTGAGCGGACGAGCCTTTTCGGGCTTCATCGCGCACAAGGCGGCCCCACCCCAGCGCAATCCCAAACGAGCCCCAACACGGCCCCACGAGAGCCTCCAGACGGCCCATGAGGACCTGAAGAGAGCCGCAAGACGGCCGTAGAACGCCATCGGGCCGCTCCAGAAGGCTGGAGGGAGCTCCACCCCCAAAAGGACCCGCAAGGAAACAGATCACGGCCCAATGCCCCGCCAGGAACCGATTCCGTAATTCTGGACACTTCCTGGAGTCATCCGGCAACAACATCTGGGCCCCATGTGTTCCTCCTGCCGTCCCGACGACAGTTCGGAACGCCAGAATGCAGCCACAGTCGAGCGAACAATACATCGTCTATCGGCCACGGGTGCCTTTCACAAGGACAGGGAGCGGCGGTGGTTCGCTTGTGGCGTCTTCGAGAACGGGAATGCCCATGACCGTAGCGAATTGAACTTGTTAAGGCTGTTCGGAGGTTCTGGACTCGGCTGCGATCAAGACATGCTGCTTGGTAGCGTACATACGCCGAGATGTCGCAGAACGTGAGCGGCGCGACTGCTGTCAGACCGTCGCAACGTCAGAACGCGCCGCGGCCTGTTGCCGCGCCTGTCGCAAATATTTTCGCCCCCGCATCTGCGTGATGATGGCCCTGCTTTGCGATGCGTAGCGCGCAAAACACAACTGCCATTCGCCGACCAAGGGTCAGCGGGATTGTCACATGAGCCCTGGCGAGCAAACGAGACCCCGAAGGCTTCCAGGGGACACCGTTCCCATCGCCCTCTCTCCCCCTTTCTCTGCTCCTCTCTTCCTCTCCCCCTTCCTCATCTCCGCTGCCCCTCTCCTCCCCTGTCCTCCCCTTCTAGCCCTCTCCCCCTCCGTCCCCTCCCTCTTCCCCTCTCCACCTCTCCCCCTCTCCCCCTCCTCCCGCCTTCTGCCTGCGCTCCTTCTCCATTCGCCCCCTCTTTGGTCCCGCTGCGGGCGCGCCGCTGGCGTCTCCCGCAAAAGGGGGCCTGCGAGACCACGGCGAGCCCGTGCGCAGATAAGCGGTGCCTCCTCCCTCCTCCCTCCCCTCCTCCTCCCTCCTCCTCCTCCTCCTCCTCCTCCTCCTCCTCCTCCTCCTCCTCCTCCTCCTCCTCCTCCTCCTCCTCCTCCCTCCTCCCTCCTCCCTCCTCCATCCTCCCTCCTCCCTCCTCCCTCCTCCCTCCTCCCTCCTCCCTCCTCCACGGCCGACGCCCGAGCACGGCCGACGACTTTGGACGCCCGAGCTGGGTACGGAAACAATGGGCACAATGCCCAACAACAAGTGTTGTCCCAAACCAACAGCGGCCGCTGTTGGGCAGGCGGGCTTCGGTCTCGAATGGACACAGGCCGCGGCGGCGTGGACGGCGAGTCCTGTTCAGAATGAGCAGGAACTGCTGTTGGGCATCGTGCCCATTCTTTCCGTGCCCATTTCGGGCGTCCAGAACGACTTTGACAGTGCCGATGGAGACTGAGACGTGGATTCGCATGTGCCGGTGGCGACAAGTCGGCGGCGGCGCCGAGGTGGGAAGCGAGAGGGGGCAGGTCTCCTCGGAGGGCGGCGGAGCTTCTGAACAGCCTCCCGGCCTTCTGAGCCCCTGTGTGAATCAGGAGAATCGGGAGGGAGGCAGGGACCCTACGGGCCCTTCAGGCCCCCGGAGGGGAGGAGGGAGGAGGGAGGAGGGAGGGAGGGAGGGAGGGAGGGAGGGAGGGCGGGAATGGGAGTAGGAGGAGGGGGAGGTAGAGGAGGAGGAGGAGGAGGAGGAGGAGGAGGAGGAGGAGGAGGAGGAGGAGGAGGATTTTTTCACAACATCAACGCCAGAGAAGCACAGCACCCTCCACGCCTGCACAGGTGGAGAGAAGTGCGCTGAGCGGATCGACCCCTATACAGGTCAGGGTCGACCGCAGCGGCTGGCACGGGACGCGGCCAGGGACGCGGCCAGCTCGCCTCGCTGCGGCGGGCAGGGCCTCGACAGCAGCGTTCGGCCGCATCAGCAGAGCTGAGCGGCGAGAGCAAGAGAAAAAAAAAGCGAGGCCGAAACTGACGGGCGCCGAAACGAGGGAAAGGCATGAGGCCACCCAACATCTCCCACATTGGGAGGATGCCGCGTGGCCAGCCGCCTCTACCCCTGGCGCCTGTCAGTCGGAGTCGTCCTCGCGTTGTCCAGGAGGCTGGACAAGAGGAGCGTCGTCATCCTCTTGAAGGAGGGCGGCACGCCCGGCACGCAGGGCCCCAGCCTCGGGCGAGACGGCAGTCTCGCTGAGGTGGCAGGGGCTCCTCGCCGAGATAGAGACAGGACCTCCTCCGCCATCCCCCGACGACGACCTGACGACCACCTCCTCCTCCTCGAGGGCTCCGAGGAAAAGACGAGCAATTTCGTCCTCCGTCTCGAAGCTGTCAGGGTCAAGATGCCCCCCACCAGGCCGAGGGGACTGCACAGGCTGCCTGGCTTTCGAATGCCCCGCTCCAGGCAACGGGGACTGGACAGGGTGCCTGGAAGAGCCGCTACTACGAGAGAGATTCGCGCTGCTACGCGAAGTCCTGGCCAAAGTAGATTCCGATAAACCTGGTCCCGCGCAATGTGGGGAGGAGAGAGAGGCGCCCGCCGCAGCTCCAGCCGCAGGCGGGGGCGCCTTCACGCAGGCGTTGGCGGCCGATCGGCCGCTGCAGCTCGACTGCGACGCTGGCTCGTGCAGCACCTGCGCAGGCCGCGCAGCGGTGCGGTAAAGTGCCATCTCGGCTGCTACTCGGAGCAGCACCTGACCTGGGCTTACGGCCTGCTCCTGAGAGGGGGGAGGCTCGGGAGGAGGCTCGACGGGAGGAGAGGTATCCAGCGTGCCTTCGGTCGTCAGGTCCACATACTGAAGGGTGGTATCATCCTCCTTGGGATGGAGACCCTTGACAATACGATGCCTGCAGTGTCTGCGCCCGCGCATGGAGTGGTCAGACAACTTCACGGGCTCCGTGGGACAGCGCTCGCGCAGTCCTCGCACTCTGCCGCCCGTCGAATACTGCTTGCAACGAGTGCACACGGCGACAAAAGAGCCATCCGAGCAATCGTACGCAGCCATGGTGTGACCAAGGTGGGACAAATCTTCCGCCTTGAGGCCTCGCAAGCCGTCGGCACCTGGGCACTTGGAGGCGGGTGGCTGAGGGAGCCGAGAACCCCACAGGCAAACAGAACACTGCCACGACTGCCTAATCTGGACCCAGTTGTGGGCTAGACCATCCTGGCGGCCAGAGACGCTCGACTCAGGGGCCAACCATTCAACATCCTGAAGGTCCAAGCGGGGCCACAGGGGCATGACACGCGCGGCTAACTTCGCTACCAGGCGCGCAATGGAAACCTTCCTCCAAATCGCGTCCGACGCAGCCGGGGGTCGGAAGGGCGTGCTGCTCCCTCCCGAGGTTGGCCAGACGATCCGCGTGGTGGTTTCCAAGCCTCAAGAAGTACTCGCGAGCAGGCAACGATTCGTCGAGCTCCTGGTGAGCACACACCTTGGTGACGGCCTGCACACGTGAAAGATCGCCCATGCGAGCCTGGAGCATGAAGCCCGAGTGCATTCGCTAGGTAGAGGAGGAGGAGGAGGAGGAGGAGGAGGAGGAGGAGGAGGGGAGGGAGGAGGAGGAGGAGGAGGAGGAGGGGTGGCCCAAATGGAGGGGGTGAAGAAAGGGGCCCTACGGGCCCCTCAGGCCCCCGTTTGGAGCCAGCAGGGGCCCACAAGGAGCCCGGAAGGGCCCCCTTTCGGGCCCTTCTCTTCACCCCCCACTCGGGCCACCTCTCAGTACCGCCCGCCCGAGAGAAGGCTCCGATCGCTTCCCTGGTGGCCACGGTGATGATGATGATGATGATGATGATGATGATGATGATGATGATGATGATGATGATGATGATGATGATGATGATGATGATGATGATGATGATGATGATGATGATGATGACCATGGTTATGGTGCTGCTGTTGATGATGATGATAAGGAGGAGGAGGAGGAGGAGGACGAGGAGGAGGCAGAGGAGGAGGACGAGGAGGCGGAAGAGGAGGAGGAGGAGGAGGCAGAGGAGGAGGCAGAGGAGGAGGATGAGAAGGATGAGACGAGGAGGGAGGAGGAGGAGGGGGAGGGAGGAGGAGGGAGGAGGGAGGATGGGAGGGAGGAGGAGGAGGAGGGAGGAGGAGGAGGGAGGAGGAGGAGGAGGAGGAGGAGGAGGAGGCGGGAGAGGAGGAGGAGGAGAGGAGGAGGAGGAGGAGGAGGGGAGGAGGAGGGAGGAGGACGAGGAAGAGGAGGAGGAGGAAGAGGAGGAGGAAGAGGAGGAGGGAGGAAGGGCCCCTGAGCCTCCTGGGAGGGCCCGCCCCCTCTGCCCTCGCGCGCGGTGGCGCGCCGCCGACCGGACGGCGGGCGGCCGGCGTAAAAAACTTCGGCGCGAGCGGCTGCTCCCGGGGGTCGCTGGAGGTGCCCCTGGCCCACGGTGCCCCCCCCCCCTCCCCCCCCTCCCCCCCTCTCCCCCTCCCCTCCCCCTCCCAATCCCCTCCCCTTCTCCCCTCCCTCCCCTCCCCTCCCCTTCTCCCTCCTCCTCCCCTCCCTCCCTCTTCTCCCCTCCCCTCCCTCCCTCTCCTCCCCTCCCTTTCTCCCCTCCCCCCTCGTCCGCCCCCCTCCCCCTCCCCTCCCAATCCCGTGCCGCTGTGGCGCTGGCCCCCCGGGCTGCGAGGAGCCGCCTGCGGGTGCTCCCGCTCCCCCGCCGCGCGCGCGGCCCGTGCTCCCCCCTGGCCGTCGCTCGGACGTCCCTTCCCTGTGCCTTTTTGTTCGGTGTCGTGCGTGTTTGTTTGTTTTTGTTTTGCCGGGTGCTCCAGGATGCTCCTCGGTAATCCCCGCCGGGAAAGAGTGCACACGTCCGAGCGATACCAAGGCCCAGCTCCTTCCCAAAGAGAAAGAGCCGAGCAGAAGGTCATGTGTCACAGGATACAAACCCAAGTTGAGAAGTTTGTGCGCTATTGAGCAACATGCGCGCTAAAGTGAGCAGTTGCAGCATCATCGGAGGATGCGAGAGTCTGAGGAGAAACAGAGAGAGCATGAGCTCACGGACGACTAGCAATACGCCTATTCCCTCGAGCTCGGAGCCTCTCGAGGCAGGTGATCTCTCAGGTGCATATAGAGCTTGGCTCGCCTCGGCGTGCTCTGCCTGCGCGTCGCCCCCCACGCCGCGCCAGACCCGTGGGCGCCCCGCGGGCCCCAGCCAAGGTGGTCCCAGGCCCGCGGGGCGCCCGAGCTCGCCAGAGGCAGGCGGCGTCGCTTGGAGAGCCACTGGGGCCCTCTGGAGCTCGTGAGGCGCCACTTCTGGCATGTTGATGATGGGAAACTGTGAAACTGTTGCAAATCTTTGAAACGAATGTGCGCCGCGCTGAGGCGAGAGCCGCACTCTGAAAAGGAACCGCCCTCAA